CTGGATGCAGACCCAAATAAACTGTCTTGGAAACAGTGGATCAACAACTTTTCATTCTCTACATAGCCAACCATACGACGACAATACATAGTGATATGATATGAAGGGCATGTGGTCCCATTATACTTCTCAAAATCTGGAACCTTGAACTTTGGTGGAATAACCAGGCCAGGGACCAGACTTAGTTCTTTGGCATCAAACCCATAAAATGACTCAACTGTCTCTATAGATTTTATCACCTCTTCTATATTTTCCAGTTGTTGAGTGAATTTTTCCTTCTCAACTGATTTGTTTAGGTCAAGGACCTTATTACTAATACAAAATTCATCAGGCTTCAACTCAGAAGTAGTAGGACAATCAGTGGGGAACGATGCTCCAGCTTGATATGGTGAGTTCTTAACAGCGAAGTAAATCGGTGATTGAATTTCCTGGGGTACAGAGGTGAACTCAGGAATATGAACAGGTGTAACACCCAAAGAATTTGTGGGGTTTTCAACAAGACTCTTTCCAGCAGTCAAATGCTTATCAATCATTTCTTTCATATTGTTCAGTAGATCGATCTGAGAATTAGCTTCGATTTGTGCCAACTTGCTCCTCAATTCCTCTTGTATTTCTTTCTGCTTTATCTCAAATTTGGCTAGCCTATATTCAGTTTCTTTAGACATTTTTCTTGTGTCGTGCTGAGCGTTCTTGCTTCAAGGAAAAACCAAGATCACTTCGTTTGAAATCCTTATTTTAATGAATGAATGTTTTAATGTATTATGACATAAAAAAAAAGATGCCAAATGCAAATGTAAATATGTGAATGTAATAATAAGAATACAAATTGTGCAATACAAATGCAAAGATGCCAAATGTAAATATGCAAATGTAAAAATGTAAATGTAAATTATTTAAAATACCAAAATAGGACATCCAGTTATATTAAGACTGCCCTTTTCTTTGATATTGAAAATAAATAAACATTATTATTTAATTAAATATGTTTTAATGCATGATGTAAATTTAAAAATGTAAATGTAAATACAAACGTAAAAATGTACAAATGCAAAATACAAATGCATGTATGAAAAGGTGTTACTCAAGAGTGATCATCTTAGAACAGATTTCATTGAACGCAAAAGTTTCGGTACATCAAACAAAACTTTACATGTAGGGATATATTTCATTCCTAACTTCTCCAAAGCCAAATTAGTCTATCAACTTAAGGGACATATTGCTTGTCTGGACTGCAACCTCTTCCATGACATTCTCTTTCATTTTCTGTCACTTCTCGGAGTTGCTCATTTTCCCTTGTAAGAGATCTTTTCTGTCCAAGAAGTTCTTGAATAAGATCTTCATATATGTTGCAGTTCTTTTTCAGCTTGGTGACCCCTGTTATCCATTCTTCTGGGGTACTTCCTAGGCCAGCATTTTGAAAGGTTTGACTAATCTTCTGAAAATCTTCATGCATGGTTTTCATTTCTGTGCTCAATTTCTCGTTTTGGTCGTTCAAGTCCTTCAAATAACATGCTTGAGCTTCATAAAAATCTCCACTACTCTGAATGTCCCGACTGATACTCTTACCATAGACTGCTTTTGGTATCAATCTGGCAGAATCTTTATGGATTACTTTTGGTATTAATATAACTGGTTCTCTGTGTGCAGAACTTCCCTCGATCCTCGTAGTTTCTTTAGGATGTCTTTCCTTGGTCGTATCATATTTTGTTTGATCATAAAACTTTTTGTCCATTTACGATTTCTTTCCAATATGGTGAACAGTCTTTCAAGCCAACACCTTTTGGTTATGCCATGATCATGTAATGAAAACAAAAGAAATCAATATGAACATATTAGAGCAATGTAATATGCATGAAAAAAAATAGAATAGTTAGTACCAACTAAAAAAAATCTATTTATCAATGTATAAATCTTAACCTCATGTTTTCTAGTTCCATGATTTGTTTGGAAAATTTAACTTAACCGCACGATTTCTAGTTCGCATGCATTTATTCAGGAAAAGGAAATAAAATAAATTAAAAGCTAGAGCTTATTTCTCCTTTGTGTATACCTACTGACAAAATTTCGGCTTGGTTTCAGATCGGGAGAGTTTCTAGGGTTTATTATATGCAGGTTTTCAGTTCTAGGAGTAAAGGTACTCGAACTGTCCTTGATGATGCCCCCTTGGGCTATCAAACCCTCAATCCTAGTCCATTACAGACTTAAACGGACCGAGTTCAATTCGAGGGGATACATTTCTCTATGACTAACACGGAGAATAAATTCTCACGAAGACATAGAGCATATGAACCCCGAAAGTTACTTGCTAGGTCTGACACGGAGAATAAATTCTCACGAAGACGTCGCTTTCACTCCCACTTAAAAGGGATAAATCTCAATTATAGAGATTATGTTTATGCAATGCAAGTGTTGTGTGTGAGGAGAAATGTTCAAACCTTTGACAGAAAAATAAATAACGAAATAAAAATACTTACAAGTAAAATGAAACATATAAATATTATGAAAATAATAAGTAAATATAAAAATTTTGAAAAGAAATAATTAAAAATTAAATATATGAACTTTTAATTTTAAATTAATAGAGACAATTTATAATTAATTTTAAAGTTTGACCAGTCCCCAACAGAGTCGCCAAGCTGTCGTAACCGGTTTTCGTCCGGGCACGAAATATTTATACTTGGCGGAAAATTTGATGTGAATAAATGGTTTTGAAAATAATTTGGGAGTCGCCATCGGCCTTTTGGGTCAGGTAGGTCGATTACCTAAAAATTATCTTTTAAAAGAGTTTTTAAGAAAACATCAATTAAAAGATAAACTGATCTGCGTATAACCAAAAATTTATTCTTTTTTTAGAAATAAAAAGGGATTCGTGGTCGGTTACGTTTAGGGAAGGATTAGCACCCCTACAACGCCCAAAATTGGTACTTTTTAATTATAAATTGTCTCTATTATTAGAAATTTAAAAATTCAAAATATATTTAATTTATAATCCTATTATTTCAAAATTATGATTATGAAAAAAATATATAATTTATATATATTATAAATAAAATATTTATTATTTAGAAATATCAAAAATGACTTTTAGGTACCTTAGACAGCTCTTTTCTTAATATTAAAAAATAAATAATTAAAATAATTAATATAAATTAAAATAAGATATTTATTTATTTAAAAATATCAGAAAATGAACATCCAGTTGTTTTAAGATGCCCTTTTCTTCGATATTGAAAAATAAATAAATATTAAAATATGATTAAAATAATTATGTAAAAATATAAATATTATTTATTATATATATTTATATGACTATAATAATAATAAAAATAATATTTAAATATATAAACAAGTAAATTAAGACATAAATAAATAAAAATACAATTAGAACTATATATTTAAGACAATAAAATTAAATAAAGAAAATATTTAAAATTAGTGACTAAAATAATAAATTAAAATTTAAATGAAAATTAATATACTTAAATGAATTTCATGACTAAAATGAAAAAATAAAAGCTCCAAAAATCAAATAAAAATAAATGAAAAAAATCGGTGTTCCCTTTTTTCTTTTTCCTTTCACTCTTCTTCTTCTTTCAACTCAGTAACCCAAAGCTCTCCTCTCCTTGGCTCGGTCGAGAGCCATTCAACGCCTAGGCCTCGACACCGACCACCGTAAATCGATGACCAAACACTCTTCCGATTATCCCACACAAAACTCGAACCTAAAAATTTATCTTTAAAAATTTTTTAAATCCCGATTTGGGATTAAACTACCAAAAACGAGACTGAAAATCTCAAGCCTTTCTCCGATTCTTCAACCGACGTTTCTCCGACGACCTAGACTCCGATGAAGAACTATGAACGAGGTAAAATCGTTCCTTATATTTCTATTTTTTTATTACTGATTTTTTATTTCGAAAAAAATAAATATGAAATACCAAACTGAAAAATAAGATCAAATGTAAAAAAACCTTTGTTTTATTTTTGTTTCTGATTTTCTTTGTATTGTTCTTAATTCCTCCGTCCCTCTTTACATACTGTTATGGGGTTTTTATAGCCACAATTTACATGTAAAAAATAAAGATTTACATTATGTTATTTTTTGTGATGATTGGTTGATTCAGGACGTGGAGCAAGGGAGGCCGTGGGAGCTACCGACGACGTGAAAGTTGCTGAAACGTGGAGGGACAGCTGTTCTGGTGTTGGAAGCTACTGGAACACTGTTGTGGTGGAGGGACAACTGTTCTGGGCTTGCTGGAATATGCTGGAGCTGCAACGTGGAGATGGCTACTGTCAAGGCAAAAATGGTGATTACAGTCACTTTGATGATTTTGCATTACATTCGAATATGTGGGATTAGGGTGTTACAACAAGGGACTCCTCCAAGCAGATGGATCTCTCCTCAAGCAGCAAAGGCTCTGTCTCAACTAATGGACGTTGGAAAACCTGGAGTTCAAAGGGAAGACCCCACGCGACCTTAGCCAAATAATCCACAACCTAGTTTTCCTCTTGCTGCACGCATTGAAAGAGTAATTTCCACTCTAACGAAGTAAATCAACACTATAAGGAATCACTGTCGAGCAAACCTCCATATCCACTCATTGAACAAGAAAGTTGAATGCATTTTTACTATCGGTTTCAACAATCAAATCCTTAAAATCTCGAGCCCAAACCATCGAAAATCCCTCAAATACACCCCACAATTCCACATCAAGAGTCGAACAATCTCCTACAACTTTTGTAAACCCCACAAGCCATTGACCATACACATCTCTTGACACACCCCCATAAATTGCTAGTCCATAATTTGACCAACAAGTTCCCTCAATGTTTGATTTACATCACCCACAAAGAAGCGTTTGTTATAAAATACACCGGTTAACTCGAGTCATCCTATTACCCTGCCATACGACCCTTAAATCTAAAGCACAAACAACCTCTAATTATAGGCGGTACCCATCGCCTAACACCTGATTCAATTTTGTAAACCCCACCAGCCATTGACCATACACTCCAGATAAAACCGAAGATAAGCCAAGCTTCGTTCTTGCTCTGCCATTTCCCTCTCTTTCCCTTCCTAAAACCATCCAAACAAATAAATGGCGACGCTGTCAATGGATATCGCAACAACTTTCATCAACTTCACCACCCGTTGCGGCGGCCGCCGCCGCCCTCCAACCCCACCTCTCTCCGGGGTTATTCCTCTCTTCTTCAAACCCTCCACCATCCATACCCGCTCCCTTTCTTCCCATACGTTGTCTTCTTTTCCTCGCACCGTTTTATCCACCTCCAAAGTTAATCGCTGCCGCCGGTTCTATGTATTAGCCACCGCCACTACTACTCCAAAAAGCGAGGATTCCGACATTTCTACAAAAATTCCGCCTGATAATCGTATTCCTGCCACCATAATCACCGGCTTTTTGGGTTCTGGCAAGGTAATAATTGCTTTACCAAAGGTCAAAATGGTCGTTAAAGTTCAAAATATTTTTACTGGGTTTGCCCCGATTCTGTTAATGTTATGGGTCGTAGGTTTTGTTTTACGAATTTACTGCATTATTGCTCTGGGATTAGTGGTAATATCTGTAAAATGAAGGGAAAACGATATTTACCTTGACTGAATATATAGATATGAAATAATTGCCAGGTTTTTCAATTGCGGCTTATCGAATATTTATTAACTCTTCCCAATTTTGAAATTCTGAACATTCTTGCCATAGGTGCTATATTAACATATGAAGACTCACTCTCTTTTTTATTCGTTTAACATTCCAATTTATTGACTAAAAATTGTTATATTGCCGGTCAGCAATGATGATAGGAACTCAGCTTTTCTCTTTTAAAGTTATTGATTTAAAAGTTGGTTGGTCGTATTTATCTGTTTTAACTTTTTTGTTGTGGAACAGACAACATTACTCAATCACATCTTGACTGCAGATCATGGGAAGCGTATTGCAGTGATAGAGAATGAGGTATTGAGTTTGATTCTGCTGCATAAATGGTTCACAATAGTCAGTCTTTTGGGAAAGAGTTAGAATGGGTGAGATATTAATGCGTAATTTGTTGTTATTAACTCTTCATCTTTTCAAATTGAACATTTCAGTTTGGCGAAGTAGATATCGATGGCTCTCTTGTCGCCGCTAAATCTGTCGGGGCTGAGGACATAGTCATGCTTAACAATGGCTGTCTATGCTGTACTGTAAGGGGCGATCTTGTGAGGATGATTGCAGAGCTAGTCAATAAGAAGAAAGGGAAATTTGACCATATTGTAATAGAGACTACAGGTTGGAATTTTCTTCAAAGGACCTATGAATTTTAAAAAAAAGAGAATCGTTGTTCTTTATTTATATTTTTTGTGTTATTGAAATTGGTGTATATCTGAGATTTTCCCTTAGTTTCAGCATGAGGAGTTATTATGTTTTCCTCTTTTACATTTCATATTCACCTATCAGGATTGGCAAATCCTGCACCAATCATTCAGACATTTTATGCGGAAGATCAGGTTTTCAACGATGTCAAGTTAGATGGTGTTGTAACTTTAGTTGATGCCAAACATGTGGGCTTTCATCTGGATGAGGTCAAACCAAAGGGAGTGGTCAATGAGGCTGTTGAGCAAATTGCTTATGCTGATCGCATAATTGTAAACAAGGTACTTATGATGGCCATATTTTTTTATGTGAAATGCACTCGGTTACCCATTAGTCTAGACTCTAGATCAAAACAAAACATGATTGAACTTATTTAATTCTCTTGAATTTTGACCCAAAACCATTGCCTAATATTTTGTCCACAGCCTGCCATATGTCTTATTTCCTTGAAACCATGTTGAATTTCTACAACATTTTGAAAGACAGCTTTATTCATTTGTCTGATTCTTTGGTTCTTTTTTTTATAGGAATAGGAGGTCTCGTTAAAAACCTTCGTCATCGTTGCCTCTTAAGAAGAGGCAACAAACTGAAGGAGGAAAAGAGTACCTCAATTTTATTGATACCCATAATTACATAAGATACACTTTACACTAAAAACTCCTAACAGAACAAAACATAACAACGATGAAACTATAAGCGTTCAACCTATCCCCTCCTTAGCTAACTTATCCGCATCACAATTACAGCTCCTAGAGATCCATCTAACCATAATGTCCTTAGCAGTAACTAAGGCACCAATGTCCCCAACCAATGACCTGAAAAAAGAGGGGACCCAAACAGGCCTCAAAATCCAATCCACTACAGTTGAACAATCACTTTCTAACACTAATCTTCCTTTCCCCGCCCATTGAGATGAAAGAAAAACATCAATTCCCTCTTTGATTGCTTTCAACTCAGCAAACATGGGCGGACCTAGACCCACAGCAGTAGAGAAAGAGATAAGCTTAGAGTCGTTCGAGTCTTTCAAAATTCCCCCTATTCCTCCTTGTAAACCATCAGACCTTACCGCCCCATCCACATTGAACTTAAAGAATTCAGGTGGAGGAGGATACCAACATGTATCCTTCTTCATCTTTGGAGGGCAGATTACAATACTATCAGCAAGCCTTGGATCCCCTGCCAATATATCAACCTGGATATTTGCCTTAGGATATTTTGCTAAAAACCAATTCGCCAGTCTGAATCTGGAGATGAAAAACAGTAAAGCCATGTCAAGTTTACCATTTTCGAACACCACCGAATTCCTAGCTTTTCAAGTAGACCACAAAACAACACTGGGGATAAACTTCCAAATAGAAGACGATGCCATAAGAAGAGACCAAGAGCAAAGTAGAGACTGAGGATCTTTAGGCAGAACTGTTACTACATCCCATAAACATAAGAACCTATTCCACAGCTCCCCTACAACCGGACACACAATAAAAAGATGTTGAATTGTTTCTTCATCCTTAAGACATAAAGGACAGAAAACATTTTCCAATGGTACCCCTCGCTTTTTCAGCTCTACTCTAACAACCACTATATGATGAGATAACTGCCACAAAAAGGTTTGAACCTTGGGGGGAGCCAAACCAAACCACACCCATTTGCTCCATTGGAAATTCCCTCTAGAACTGCCCGAAATAGTCAATCTACAGGATTTAGCCGAGAACAGTCCATCACCATTCCCAGACCAAGCCAAAAAATCATTAACTGAATCCATCAAACCAATGTTATCCAGCAAAGACATCAAGGAAATCCACTGATCTAATTCCCAGTCACATAAATTCCTCCTTAATTGGATATTCCAAACCCATCCACGGTTTTCTAGGCAACCAAATTCAGCAACTTTCCCCCCTTTATTGATAGATAGAGCAAAAATCCTTGGGAATTGGTCTCTAAGAGTTGAGTTATTAACCCAAACATCATTCCAAAATGCAATAGATCTACCATTCCCTACTTGCATCTTCGAATTTGACCTCAAGCATTCTCCAATTTCATCCTTCTTCTTATAGTTATTCCTAATTCCTCTACAAACCCAAGAGTCTTGGGGAGAAACTGTCGTACTTAAAGATAAAGATAAGTTGCTGCTATTGTGAATGCAACAAAGCATATTCTTCTATAGAGAATCCTTCTCGTTAGCAAACTTCCAAACCCACTTCCCAAGTAGCACTCAATTGATCAAACTCAGGTCCAAAACACCCAAGCCCCCCTCGTCAATCGGTTGACACACCAAATTCCAATTAACCCAATGAATCCGATTTCGTTCTGGACCTTCCCCCCAAAGGAATCTAGCCATTATAGAATTCAGCTTATGATTTACCTTAGGAGGAATTTTAAAACTGGACATGAAGAAAATCGGCAAGGATGACAACACCGTCTTCACTAGCACCAATCTCCCAGCCAACAAAAGTGTTGAAGCTTTCCAACCTGTTAATTTTGAAGAAAAATTCTGGATCACCGGTTCCCACAGCATATCAGATTTCTTGGAAGTACCAATCGGTAGACCAAGATAAGTCATAGGTAGAGCACTCGCACCATAGCCTACCACCGAAGCCCATTCTATTTTTGACTATTTCAAGGCTGTCTATAACTCGAATTTAACTCTAGAGGTGAAGGTTATGGATCTCAACTTTGCTAAACTGAATCACGATCAGGTGACGGTTCTTGAAAGGAATTTCTCTGAGCAAGAAGTGTGGGAGGCAATTTCTCAGTCGGACAGCTCCAAAGTGCCGAGTCCTGATGGTTTCACGATGGGGTTCTTTAAGAAATTCTGGCCAAGCCTGAAGGTTTTTATTATGAAGTTTGTTGAAGATTTCTACAATGGAAGGAATTGGGAGCATGGGGTAAACCATGCTTTTATAACTTTGATTCCAAAGATCAGAAATCCGGAAGGCATTGAAGACTACAGACCAATTAGCCTAGTTGGCAGTCTGTATAAAATTATTTCCAAAGTTCTTTCTAGAAGGCTTGTGTCTGTTATTAAAGATATTATAAGCCCTACACAGTTTGCCTTTATCCCGGGTAGGCAGCTTCATGAATGTGCTTTCTTAGCCAATGAAGCTATTGATTTTTGGAGAAAAAAGGGGAGGAAAGGCGTTGTTTTTAAGGTCGATTTTGGCGTGCTTACGATTCGGTGGAATGGCCGATCTTATTGAGGCTTTTGAAAGTTATGGACTTTGGTGATAAGTGGATTTCATGGATTAAACTTTGTATATCTTCTGCTTCTATTTCGGTTCTTGTTAATGGTTCTCCCATTGAGGAATTTATGATGGGCAAAGGGTTAAGACAAGGCTGCAGTTTGTCTCCTCTGTTATTTAATATAGTTGGGGAACTGCTGAACCTTATGTTGGTTAAGGCTGCTGACAGAGGATTGTTTGAAGGGTTTAGTATTGGTAGGGAGAATAATCTTTTCTTTTTGACCCACTTACAATTTGCAGACGACTTAATTATTTTCTGCAGGGATTCTCCTACTCTGATTCTTTGGTTCTTGAGAGCCACCTCAACCATATTTTTCTCGTAGAACTCTAAGAGGATGGTGTTATATTGAATTTGGTTTTCTAATGGCTAGCTGATATGATTATCTGTTCTTTTGATAGACCGATCTTGTTGGTGAGCCAGAAATAGTGTCCTTGGTTAAGCGGATAAGGGTGCGTTTTCTGCCTATTTCTATTAAATGATTTTATTGCAACTTAGTAGTTAGGATGTGATGTGTTATTTATTGTGCACTGTTCTAATTGAAGATGGCATTGTCTGCTTGCAGAACATTAATGGTATGGCTCATCTCAAGCGCACAGAGTTTGGAAAAGTTGACTTGGAGTATGTTCTTGGGATAGGAGGCTTTGATTTGGAGAGGTTGTTTTCTGCTCTTATTTAGTAGCTCCACTGTCGGTACAAAGATTATAGTAAATAATAAAGGATTGTTGTTTTTCCATTTTATTGTACTCATGTTCTATTTTTGTCAAGCGCAAAGTGTTGCTCCTGACGTAGGAGCTTTAATTATTTTATATCATTTTTGTACTTCATTAATATTTATTAATTATGAGACATTATGGATAACTAAGATCATAAGATATCTTAGGGTTTCGATCTAGCGCTAGGGCTATTAGTTATCTACTTATCTTTAGGGTTTAAATCTAGGGATAGGATTATAACATTATTAGTATCCCTAGTATACATAAGCTGTAAAAGATTTACAGCCACAACATAACTATTATAATTTTCTTGAATTAATGGAAAGAAACTAGAAGTTTTTATAACCCTAAGTTTTCTAAAGTTCCATCTTCTTTTACTTGTTTGTTCGGACCTAATTCTATTGATTTACTGCTGTTTCCCCCTTAAACCATATCACCTCCACTCTTTGATTTGGCCTTAGAACTGCCATCTGAGCTTCTTTTCCATTTTGAGATATATTTCATTGAATACTACCTTTTCAAAACCATTTTAGTATTACATTACATTGTGGATGCTAAAATGCTAAAACCATTTTGAAAAAGGGAAAGGGAGAACGGCTGGTTGAGACATTCGGAAATTTTCTTTATTACTTCCTCTTTGTCCTTCCTTTATTGGGAAATAGTTTGACAAGCTTCCCTCTGTATGATGTACTATCTGTGAACCCTATGTCTTAACTATGTGTTTCCCTGTTGAAGAATACTCTAAATTGTCTCTCACTGATCTCTTGTTTGTTCCAGTTGTGATCAGATAAAAGGTTTCTGGGTTTTTTCTCTTATTTTTTAAACAAAAAAAATTGTGATTCAGAATGGGTTGTTGTTGACCCTTATGTTGAAATTTATTCTCTGGATCCGAGGAAGATTAGGACTTTCATGTAACTGATTCAGAAAGGATGTCAGACAGCTGCCTATAGGAACTAATTATTTGGTTAGGCATCTGAAAAATGTAGAAATAGGGTAGTCGGAAGGTTATTTGCCGACTATTTTCTGTATTTTACATTTCTACTTCAGTGAAGTAAAGTGAATTTAGTGTGTACTTCTCCATCTTCCTATTTTCCTGATTAGCAGAGGAATTATTGCCACCAACTGCTGACCTCTTTTACAGAATAGCATATGCTGCTTTCATCTGTTTGGCATTTCAGCTTCTTGAACTTTGCAATTAATGGATGGACATTGAATGCGTTCCCCCCTGTAGTGGAACCTTTGCAATTGTTTTTCATGTCAGGATGGATTTATGTTGATACTTGCCTTGGTTTTCTCAAGAGGGATAAGGAAGAAATATAACATGATTTAGGCTTAAACTTTTGAAATTCGATGTCTTCCTTCTTAAAAAAAAGGAGGGCTTAGAATAGGGATTGAGGACAAAGGTGTAAAGGCATCATATGAACAAAGAAACTAGAATGTATTAAGTGACCTCAGGTTTCAGGTTTCTATTATAGTGCCTAAGTTTGCCTCTGTAGTGGCTGATCAACTTTTGAACTTCAACCACACTATTTAGTTATATAGAATTGCTGATAGAATCGTCTTTTTTGGTCGAGTCATATTTTCTGAAACTCTTTATAGGTATTATCATCATTATGCGTACAAGAGTGATGGGTCCATATCCCTCTCACTATCATTAGTTATTATGCATAGAGAAAAGGAAAGAAAAGTATTTGACGCTGAGTACTCTTACCTATGTCAAATCTCTTTGATACATGGGTTTACATTTCTTATATTTGGTTCAGGCTATTGCTTTTATAGGCTGTCCTGTAACATTTGTCTAGTGATCAGATTGGCTACCTCTTGGTGCCTCTATGCAGTTTATGCCCTTGCCCATAAAAAACCTGTCACGACTGAGAACTATTTGTGCTTTTTTCCAACACTATTAGAATTTATAGACTGAATCTTCCCTGGATCTATTGGATTGTTCATGTGTATATTTCTAGTGGGCTATATGTAGCTTCATCCGTGTCATCGGCATTTTGTATAACTTTTTACTATTGATGATTATCAATTTCCTTTGAATTATTGGCTGTTTATCACCCCCTAAATTTTGGTTCTCGACTTACTTTTGTGCTTAAAATCTTTTCAGGATTGAGAGTTCTGTCAGTGATGAAGGTGCAAAAGAAGATCATGCTCACCATCACCATCATGATCATGACCATCATCATCATCATGAACATGACCATAAACATGGTAACTTTACTTGTTATTATGATACCAAATTGTCATTTTGCTTATGCTTTAAGGTTTTCATTATTTTTATTGCTGTTTTTATAAGCAATAGTATATGTTTAACTGTTCTCGAAAGTGGTATTTGGTTTAATTTTGTTTTCTAATAATGTGGGTTGCTTCGTTCTTATGATCTGCAGCATGCTTTATTGTTTACATCATTTCTTTTTTGAATTGATTTCACTTTTGCATATAGATAGAGCATGCTTTATTGTTTACATCATTTCTTTTTTGAATTGATTTCACTTTTGCATATAGATAGAAGCCTTGCTTTGTCCTTTAATTGCGCTAATAAATCAGGTAGTGACTTGTGCATAATGTCTAATGTGTGATCTTAATTTTTCATGAAATTTTGGGAATTGCTGTTTCACCTTTTGACTTAATGATTAAATATGTGGTTGTCACCAAATTGATTTATTTGGTGGAAAAGGCTAGGTTCAGGAATAAGTTTAATCCATTGCTGAGTAGTCAAATTGCTAAAAGCAGAATCAACTATAAAGAATCCTCTGGCTAGTTGCTACTTCTGTTGCCACCTAATTTGTCGCACTATCAACTAGGTACAAGGTTTCCATGAAGGGTGGCCATATCATCATCAAACTGCAGATATGCATATTCATCTCTTCCAAATTCCAATCTGTTCATCTGAATCCTGAACTTGTGAAATTCTGGCTTGATTTGGATTTGGCAGTTGAGCTATGTCATATTGATACTTTTGTGTATCCAAATCTGAACTTTAGATTTTAAGAAATTGGCAAGTTTTAAATTCATGAATGAATGAGATAAGCGTATCATCAATATGTTGCACTTGCTCATTTCTATAATGATTTTGATTTTGAAGTCTTCTTTCATGCTTTCGGTTACCAATAGTGCCAGGCTTTATCTCGTGGGAACTAGAGGTCACAAAATCTATTATTTTAGCTTTCTCAGCTACACAAATCATCCAGAATTCCGTATAACGTACCAAATTCCATTTGCAAGGGATCTCTTCTCGAATCCTATCCCCACCCATAGTTTGTCATCTGTTTCTAGGCTTATGCTACTGAGTTATGCTCTCCTTTTTTGGGTTCTTCATAGGCAAGGGAATTTGGATATGGTTATGCATGCTTGTTAATTTTACAGATATCATATCAACAGGTCGAAGCTATACTCTTCTACTTATACTGAAGCTAAAATCTTGCACTTTTGAACGCAGACTATCATCATCATCATGATAATGATCATACTCACGACCCAGGAGTTTCCTCTGTCAGCATTGTTTGTGAAGGGAGCTTAGATCTCGAGAAGGTTTGTTTTATCAATGCATAATATACCTCCGACACTAGATGTGATCGTAATGATCCTAAATTATAGACCAATGAACTTCTGTTTAGTTAAAAGTGGGATTTCTCCCGTCTCCGTAGTGCTTTGGAATTTGTTTCATTATTATGGGAAGCAATTGTTTAGGTTAAAGAGTTAAAAACTTTCATCGTCTGTTTTATTTACTTCCGCTATTGCCTTGCAGGCTAACATATGGCTTGGTACATTGTTGTTGGAACGTAGCGAAGACATTTATCGGATGAAAGGTCTTCTTTCTGTGCAGGGTATGGATGAGAGGTTCGTGTTTCAGGTGAGAAAAAAATGTTTTCATTTGTCTGTCTGTCTTCTTATCGACATCTACCACATCTATCATCCTATTGCCTGAATTAAAATAAATTATGGTTTGCTGAGTTGATAAGAGAGTCATGAATTATGTTCGTTTTGATGTTGTGGAAATGAACAGGGAGTTCATGACATATTCCAAGGATCACCAGATCGGTTATGGGGACCGGACGAACCGAGAGTAAACAAGATTGTGTTCATTGGGAAGAACTTGAACGCAGAGGAATTGGAGAAGGGTTTTAAAGCTTGTTTACTATGATTTGATCCACTGAACAACGAGCAGAGCAGATTAGACCATTGCATTTTGACCTGATATGTTTTGCATTTATGATAGATACGCAGCAATACGTGATGTAATGTTTGCTGTTAAAAATATATAGAGAGAAATGTTTCAAACATTACTTTTTGATGTTTCAACCATATACGCATCATATATAACTTATTGAATAGTATTACATAATTTCGGATTGGGTTCATATCAAGTGTCCAGCCATACCTATTCAATATAAATAAATATAACACAAATTAAGTGACCTCAATGGTTAATGAATTGTTATTATTCTTTGAGTTCTAAGTTCGAACATTTTGTAGGTCAGGGGTATGTACTTTAAATATTAAATGGTTGAGAGTTTCTCAACGGATATTACGTGATACTCACTCTAGATCGATCAATCATTCTAGATCTAGATCAATAAAAAAGAAACAAAATATATGTTAAATTTTGACATCAAATAATAAATTAAAGTTCATATCTTTTATTAATGTTTATAACTCATCTAACTCGGTAGCGATAAAACTTATTGTTTATGTTCTTTATTATGTTGTTTTGTACGATTTTATGTTTTTGAGGCATGATTGAGTGTTAACATATAATATTTATTTATTAAATTGAGGTGGTTACAACATATTATTTGTTCTAAAAATTTTAAATTATTTGACAATAAACACTGAAACACCTTTACAGACGTTGGTGCTCAAATCCGAAACCTCTAGAGACAAGAACCATCCTTTAACTATTAAGGTAGTTTAGTTCATGTTGTTCACATATAATAGTTAAATGCGATTGGTAAGGGGAGTTGATATTATATAAGTTACATATTTATTTCCTAATAAGTTTGTGATTACGATTTTAGTCTTAAATTTATAATATTTATTTGACTTTATGAAAACCATGTTTTTAATGTTTTATGACTTAAATTTATTTTATCATATATTTTGTTAATTCATCAAATTAAAATTTTGATAATTCATCTAACTTAGTAATGACAAATACTTACATTGCTATGATCATGATTATACTCTGCACATTTATCCTATAAAGAATAGAACATGTTACAAAATTAGACGAGTTCCTATAATAACCAAACATTATAATTATTTGTCAAGGACTAACAATTTAGGTATAAAAATCAAGTGAATGTCTTTTATAAGTGTGTATAAAAATCAATTTGGTTATTTGTCATCGTAATCAATTTTTAAAATGTCTAAACGAAAATGCATGGTCACTAAGAGAAATTGAGTGTATTTTTATCCTCCACCTTCTTCTAAGCCATTAGACAATTATTTTAGAAATGCTAATGTTACCCAATGATTTAGAACTCATTTTTCTTCTCGATATGTTAAAGAAACTCGTGTTATTGGATTTATGTTTTTAAGAGAATTGAGTTCACCATATCTTTAAAAACTTGAATATATAAAATTGATAGATTTTCTAAAATTTATTCTATCACGCTTCGAGTATTTCACTCTAATACACGCGTGTCTTCCTCTAAATCTTCGGATGGAATGATTTATCGAACCATCAAATCATTTATAATGGGTAAATTCATAACTATCTTCGAAGACTTTGTCGCCCAAGCCTGCAACCTACCCCATACCAATTATACAAATGACAAGGGTCCATTTTTTATGGAAAAACATAGTTAAAAAAATGGTGCTACTCGATTAAGCCTTTATGACAAGTTTCTCCACTTGATCATCTTTCATGTTTTTCACTCGCGGAGCACAAAGTATTCAACCATTTGCGATCTTGACTATTAGTGGATACATTGCATCAAGGCGGGTCACAAGTTCCATTTGACCAATGCAATCTTCAATGATATTGTAAGCATCATTAAGGCTAAATCCCATCTAACTTTGGTATACCATATGTACCTTTGTCACATTTTTTTGCATATTTGATGTTGACACTTTATATGAGCCTAAATAGATCATGTTATTGAGACGACCATTGGATGTACTTCTATGGAGAAATTGAGTTATAACGAGCAACTCAAATTTTCTATGAATTATGTTTAAGTTAGAGGAGAATAATCAAATCATAGTGATGGAGAAGATGTTCAAGGAGGGGACGAGGCTTAAGGTGACTATGAGGATGTTCATGAATGACTGAGAGAGATGACTATTCGAGAACTTCATGATTCTATGATGCAAGCCTTTGGATCATTCCATTCTCATGTTGACTAAAGATTGGATATTCTCATGTGGAGTGTACGATTTCCAAGCATGTAATTATTCAATTTGATGGCCTTCTTGTTAAATGTGTGAAAAAATTGATGTTAAATGACCCATTGCTGCCTCCATAAGTCTTAGGAATCAAGTAAGGCGGTGTTTATGAGGGTTTTTGATTGATTTTAAAGCTTCAAAATGGTTATTTCTGGGCTTTGGTATCAATATTGTTTTTTAGGTATCGATATTGTATGAATGTAGTGTAGAAATCTAGGTAAATTACCTTAGGAGTATCGATACTTATACTGGAGGAATTGATATTGTTCATTAGGATCAACAAGATTGAGATTCTAGTGTGCCATTTTGGTATCGATATCGTCATTGATTATTGATACCCTAGGATTGAGTATCGATACCCTAGGATTGAGTATCGATACCCTATATATAGTATGGATACTACATGCTTAAAAAGTCAAAGTTTAACTTCTAAAATGTACATGAGATTAAGGGATGATTTGTAACAAAAGAATAAGCCTAAAATGGGATGCTTAAATGTATTAAGTGATTAAAATATCATCAAAAGTGTTAAATTATCAAAATACCCTTAGGTGGGTAAAACTACAAAATTATCCCTAAGCACGTCGAGAATGAAAGTGAGCTTTGAGATGATGACGTATAAGCCATCTCAAGCCTAGAAATGAGTTATGTGGAAAATGAAAGTGTTTAATGCTTAAACGACATAAGTTATTAAAAGTTTAATTCGCCATTGCATAATGTTCTAAGAGAGGGAACGTGCTACAAAGTGACGTGAGAGGAAATGTCTTCACTTGATTGGTTGAAAAATGATGCTTGTGTAGTAATGCTACCTTGATTGGCCTTGTATAAAAATGTTGATATGTGTGGTCTTATATAAAAATCTCGATTTAACGATAAAATAATACAATATTTTTCAAAAAACCAATCTATTTATTGTTCAAAATCAAACATCATACTAGACCCAAAATTTAATTCCTTCAAATTTGAGAAGAAAAACATTTAATATTTTAGGCTTTCGAAATTTCTAATTTCTAGAAGAATAATGTCTAAAGGAATTGAGAGGAAAATATATTTAACTCAAAAATTATAGGGGCCTATTTTTAAATTTTCATTCATGGCCCATAAAATATCTGAGACACTCTTACCAGGTGTCAATGTTGTTACATGCATATGCTTGACGTGAGATTTGAAGGTTAACTGATGCTAGGTGAAACTAGAAAGCGGATGATAACTCTATCATGTAGCATATAGACTTTAAAGACTAGGATGATACGTTATTGATGATATAACATGGTTAGAGTTAAATCCTCTCTGCTTATACTGCATAACATGCTTATGCTTATGAATTTCATGTAGTATAGTAGAAATGTACCACTAAGCTATTTAAAGCTCATCGTTTATATGTTTCCGTTCGTAGGTTAGTAGTTAAACTTGTTTTAGGAGCAACGTCACAACAAGGTTTTCAATGCTTGCTCGTCATAGTACAATACTATTTACTTCACAAGACATGTGTATCCTTAGAACTCTTTATGTATTTGATCTGTAAACTTCATTAGTATTTCCATTATCTTCATTTATATGAAACTGTCACAAATTTCTGGTTTTGCATAAATATTTTATAATTGTTATGAATTTCACTATTTTAATATACCATACAATGATTTGAGTTTATAATAGAAAAAGAGAGAATATTTTAAATTTGGCAATTACTTCGATGGCCCAATATGTCATATTAGACACATCATATAGTGGATCGAATTTGGGGTGTTACAAGCAAACTCATATGCTCCGCTTTGTCTCCCTCGGTCACATCTAAACAGGCCAATAATCGTGCATCCTTAAATGTCTAAAATGATCTAGTTACCCTTTAAGTACTCTATTTGTCACCTTCATTCAAAAATCCTCTTCTTAACTTGTTTTAGGCTCAAATAATAATCAAATCAAGCCTAACCTTGACATATGGTTCAATTTAATCCCTTAACTCAAGTCATCATAGTTTGGGTCAATGTAATTTTTTTTGAATTGAAAGGAATTCTTAAATTACATCAGCCCTTAGTATAAAGAGGGTCATGTACATCCCTTGCAGCTATATCAATGATACTCAAAGGTATAGAATCGAGTAAGCTAATACCCGTTTGATTTGATGGATTTAATATTTAAATTAAATTCATATAAAAATAATATTTCAAACTAAAAGATATTTATCTTTGTAATTTGAATATTAGTAGGATAATTATTCTTTTGAATATCTCAAATTAAAAGATATTTATTATCTATTTAACTTTGAATATTAAAAGATAATTATATCATTTTGAATATTTCATATTAAGATACTATCTATTTAAGTTTGAATAGTAAAAGATATATATATCTTTTGAATATTTCAAATGAAAAGATATTATTATCTGTTTAAATTTGAATATTAAAAGATATATATTTTGAGTAGATATCTCTTGAAAATTCCCTATAAATATTGTGATAACCTACTAGGTTACTCACAAGTTTTTCATCTCAGAATTCAAGAACTTCAAAAATATTGAAAATATTTTCTCTCATTCCATTAGTTTTTCGGTGATAGATAAAGGCAATGATAGTTTGTGATCTCTACAAGCTGATCATTTAGTTGTTATATCCTGGGAGACAGATGACCAACGATCTAAAGCACCAAATGAGTGACTCAAAAAGAGTATTTTCTTTCTATTTATTTTTCTTATTTTTTAGGAGTTTAATCTTGTTTGTTTTATCTTCTTAGAAGTGATTATGATTTTGAATTGTTATAATTCTAACAATCCTAATATACGATAAATCATTATTTATCATTAATTTTATTACGATATTTGGGTGACTATACTTACTCAAAATCCAAGCTTTGAAGCACCTTATCCTAGTTTTCTTGATTTAGTTTCTCCTTCTCCCTTTTTTGATGCCTCCACCACCCCTTGAGCTTAAGAAAATTTATATATACAAATTAATAACTCATTCAAGCATCTAAGAATTAAATCAAACTCGTTATTGAATATGTATGAACCCTATCTTACTTTAGGGTTTACAAAATTCTATACCTAGCTTGAAATTCGATTATATTAAATGCCAAATGAAAGAATAAGTTAAGAACTTTTCAAATTTAAGATTGGTTTACACATGTACTAGAGAAATTTAAGAGATTTTGGGTTTTCAATCACTAAATTTTCAAGCACTCATCAATGGTTGTGAGAAACATTGAAAAGATGAAGTAAGAAAAAAAAATCTCACTCTAATCCATATCGAGTACTACAAAAGCGAGGACGATAGGAATTTAATGTCTTATCTCAGTAAACCAAGTAGTTATTGATATAAACTTAGTGTTTTTAACGCTCTTACTAATATAAACTTTATTTCCTCCCTTTTTTCAATTTTTTGAAATTTCAAAAACAATTAATATTTTACACACACAATTGGGGTGTATATTTTATTCCACTAAATCCATAATTTGGATTAATAACTAAGTAAATCTATCACATTTATTTTTTATAATTTGGTCCTTAAACTTTTTTTTTTCATATTTAAATTTAAATTTAATATTAAATAAAATTTTCATTTAATCAAATAGACTTAATCAAATATGATACACTTTCTAATATTTAAAATTAGGATTTTTTAAAAAAATGATTTTTCAATCAACAAACTTAAAAAAAATGTAATTTGAACATTCATAATGTTACATCTTTGTTTTGATGGCTTTAATTTATCATGTAAGTAGATTTTGAGTTTATTTGGTTAATTTTTTTAACAATTTTCTTGTATGACCCTTATGTGATCTTAAATGGCTAGTTTCTTGTATTATCGACTATAGAAAAATGTACTTATTATGTGTTTAGTTTACGATTGTCATACCCTAATTCGGGGTTAAAATTTTTAGGAAGTTTGAAATAGTTTTTTTATTTATAATGATAAGTTCACAAGAAAATTTAGAAGATTGAAGGACTTCAAGTGTAAATTTCCATGCCTTGGATTTAGGAGTTTCTATAGTCCACGTGAAAGCTCATTTTCTTTGATTGATGTGAATTTGATTATTTTTATTTTTATAATATGGAAAATAGAGAACCACAATTTGGAAGATATTTTGCTTAAGGCTTAGTTTAAAACCGAAAATTAGAATTCTTTGAGGAGGAATCGATTTATTTATATTACAAAAAGCATTTGCGGCAGCAGCAGCAGGCGACCTAATCTATCAAAGCAGAGAAGATATGGTTTTAGGTTCAGGGATCTACGCGAAGAGGGTGATAGTTGATGCAAGGCACTGCATGTTGGGAAGGTTAGCTTCCATTTTAGCCAAAGAGTTATTGAACTGTCAAAAGGTTGTCGTCGTTAGATGCGAAGAGATATGCATGTCTGGTGGTCTCGTCAGGCATAAGATGAAGTACATGAGGTACTTGAGGAAGTGTATGAGCACCAAACCTTCTCATGGTCCCATCCACTTTCGTGCTCCTTCTAAGATCCTCTGGAGTACTATTCGTGGAGAGGTGATCCAACAATCATTATCCTGACCCAAAATAATCCAATCGATTAAAAACAGTGTAAACGAGAGCAAAGTTGAACGAAGCTTTTAGGTTTTGGTCCCGACGATCTGGGCCACCGTCAAGAAATCCCAATTATGAAATTGTTCTTAACAACTAGATGGCCATCATACCTTGGAATCAACATTCGATATTTTTCTTGTAGAACTACAATCGTCCATCGCGAGTCTCGGTGAAGGGAGACAAGATCCATGACGAGGAGAGTGAGGAGAGTTCGATGGTGTAATTTGGGTCCCGAACTGCGATCGATGGTGATGAGCGGCTTTGGGGTCACCGACATTTGGATTTTCGGTCGGCCATTTTTGTCCCATTTACAGAACACTGGACGAAGAGTGCTTAAGGGAAAAAATGTTACGTGAAATATAATAATGGTGAGGATCACGTGGGTTTTGAGACAGGTGGATAATGGATGAAGGATAAATTGTATCTTTAGTCCTCCATTTTTAGTATGGTTTCGACTTTGTCCTCTAGTTTTAATAAAATTTCACCTAAGCCATGATAGTTTAAATCAATTCAATTTAGTCCTTGATTTTAGTAATTAAAAAGTATATTGACTCCTAAAGTTTTTAGTTTTAACAATTAGGTCTCCAAATTATTAATTAGATTCTAATAAGTTATTTTTATGGCGAGTAAAATTATTTGAAGTCATATTTGTACGGTGGATGGTCTGTGTTCATGAGAAAAATATTGGAAGCTAGAAATCAAGTTGGTGAGATTGAATTCAAAAGTTATATTTTGGGTTTTGTTGACATCCTGAGTTTGTTTTTCTTAGGACTTTTTCGCCAAATTCAATTATGGTTAGTTATTTTTTGACATTTTATCTCCCGATTCGATACAGATATTCACGTTTAAGTTCTATTTCTAATGTAATTAGTTTTGACATGTATCTGAGACATTATGGGCCATGGAGTTTAATTGGTTAACCGTTATGGATCAAAACTTGAGGTAATATATTACTACCTTTTTCATGCTTTACGAAACATGTTTGTATTGATTACTGCATGGATCAATATAATTGGTCACATGTATGTAGTTGATCATTTTCTAAACTCGATCGGAATGTGAAATAAAGTAAATTAAACTGAATAAGGCTAAGATTATATGCATAGACACAAGAAGACTGATAAGAAATGATTTCAAGTTCAGTGATTATCTGGAAAAGGAAATAACCTCAGAATCTATAAATTCTATTTGTTCTTATTAAAAGCTTTAATACTGAAATCACTTGGTTAAGAAATTACAAAATTAACATATGAGGTAAAATGGTCCGGACTGACCGTCACAGTGAAAGTACCCTGAGAATTCATGTTTAATCCGATAAACTGTTGATTCACCTGTTAAATTCCTGATATGTTCGGAAAGTCATTGATAATTAGAACTTACATCCAAGAATGTACAATACCTAGAATTATCGATTTATCAGCAAATACCCAAAGGATAAAACATTGAAAGTATTATTTATGTTCGCATTGTTCAGACAAATTTTATTAAATGGAAAGATCATACTGAAGGAAATGATTGAAATACCCTTAAACCACAAAATAACCAACATACCCCTGAAGAGTAAAATAACCCAAAATATCTTTAAGCCTTATAATGAATAAATACCCTCAAGCTATGAAATGAATAAATCAACTTCGAACACCAAATTAACTTAAATACCCTTATGACTTGGTTTGAGAAAATGTCTTGGATAACTTCTTAAGATACCGGTGCAACATTAAATGTGGTAACGTCTTTGAGGTTTATAGAGCATGGCCTAAGTAGGTCAATCAACCTTAATACTGTTAAAATACAAAAATTAATAAAATATCACTTAAATACATGTTCATATCCTTAAGATCAGTTCAAAGATGGTTTTGAAGGTGATCAGTTCGATTCTACAATGCAGTTAGTTTTAAGAAATGAACATTCGTGAAGTTTTCTTTGCCTACATACTTGATAAGTATTGCCTTTGCTAGGATTTGTAGAATGCGGTTGGAATTGAAAACATGTTAAGATGTTTGAAACCAGGAATTCTATAAATTGATGCTTACTCTTATTAAATTGATTTATCAAATCTCATAGGAATCAAATGACCATAATGCCCTTGTGAAACTGATCGACGAAATCACCCATGGAATATCCAAATTTTAAGTAATCCTGATGCGACCGTTCTTAATTACCCTTCAGATATATCCAAACACTAAATGATCTTGATGTATCACTTTATGAATGACTGATTACTCCGTTAGCTATCGAACCCTTTTTAGGGATCTTATTTCTAAAATTTTATCAAATTACAAAATTTTCGTAGTTTCATACCTGATAAATACCAAGTACCTCTGAAGAATAATTGGATTCTCTAGTGTGTTCCTTATATGCTATATGATTGTTTTATCTATTTTAAAACATGTTTTTTTAAATTTAATGAATTATTGGATTACTGTTTATGAACCATGGCTACCTAATATGTGCTCTTTGGTTACCTGTTTTCACTGGAAAAATATAATCATTTTTGATTTATGGATCATGGAATTTATTGGTTACTACTTAAACTATTTTATTGGGACATTATGTAATACTCCCAACCCGTATCCGACCCGGATACGAGTCCGAGATGTCACAATGACTATTAAAACAATTAGTTTTACAAAAAAAATTGAAAATGTTGACTTTTATTAACTCAAATTGCATACTTTATACAATTTATATCAAGGAATTTACAAAACTTATCAGAGCGGATCCAACTCAAATCTTGTATTTCATGCCAACAAATTTCTATATAACAAAATACATATTATTCAAAATGTGCTTTTCTGATATGATCTTTGGAAAGGAGTAACTGACATGCTTTGCCTATCCATGCTCTTCTTCTTGCTCGCGGAACCTACGTGTGAAACATTCACACGCTAAGTCGATGACTTAGTGAGACATTGAAAAACATATAAGGTAACTTTAACTCCTAACAATGCATGAACATATAATGATATCATATCATACAAAGTTTATATGTCCTTTCATGTAACAAATGCATACATATATATATATATATACTAATATTATCATCATTCACATTCTTTTTATTATCAATATTATTTCTATTCATTCCTTTGCTCATGTAATCTTATCCTTAACCTTTATGCACATCATATCATACAATTCACATAATCAAACACATAACATCTCATACAATTTATTTAAGTTAATCATTTTGTTTGCCCATGGTACACTGCTGAGAACTATAGATATGTGAGTCTATAGAGGTTGTACACATATGTTGTCACCACAGATAAAATCCCACTAGGGGCACATAGACTTTGTCCCGAAGGACCGCGTAAAAATGTCCCGAATGACCACATATAACACATATGTCCCGAAGGACCACTCCATAAGAACCATATACATATTCCAATGGACCAAATAAGTGTACAGAAGTACAACATATATGTTCCAAAGGATTATATATATGTCCCGAAGGACCACGTAGAACTCTCAACTCTTGGTATGTCAACTATACCTTTAGCTCTCCTTACACATAACATGGGCATTATCTTTATACTTATCACATAGTCACTTATTCATATCACATAGGCTTATAGCTTCTTATCATATCATTCACATTCTCTGACTTATCTCTTGTGATCATGTAATCACTACACTTATTTTCATAAAACTTATTGTCACATAATTCACATATCACATATAGACACCTAGATCACTTTCACATAGCTTATATCAACTTTCCAAGTCCTTTCATATTACTTGATATCATATATCATATATGTATATAATTACTTATATCATATCATCTACCTTATGCTTCATTTCTTTGTATTCACTTAGATTACATAACCTATGTCATATTTATAAATATATATCACTTTATAGTATTTTATTTATATACTAATTTAATCTATTTACTTAATTCAATTTCATATATTCCTTATAACATTTTCATATAGCTTCATAGATCTTTAGCATATAACTTATCTTATATGTTCGTATCATCACTTTATATTCAAGTTTTCTAATTGATATACTATTCCCATTTCATTCTATAATTCAATCGTATTTAGTTTCCTCAATTCTCATTAAATCATATAACTCTATTATACTAATTCTCATAATTGATCATACCACTATGTACTTGTCCAACTCATGTTTTTATTATTCATATAACCGTTACACATGTTTACCTTGTTCTTATCGCTTCTCATGAATTCACTTTCATTATATTCTCCTATTATTACATATTTTATCTCATAACCATGTATTCACATAGTCTTATATTTCATTATCATATAACTTATATTTGTTCTCTTATGACTCTTAATGGACATATATTTTCATTTTCATATAGTACATAGATCTTATCACATGACTTATCTTTTATACTCATATAATTTCATAACTTATTTTATATTCTCCCATTATCACTTAATAGTGTTTTTACATAAACCACATAGCACATACAAGAACATATCAACTCATATAATCAAGCATACATACACTTCATGTCATTCACATACTTATAATCAAGACTTCATGCACTATAACTATAGAAAATAGACTTATCGCAAGTCCAATTTCCATATAATCCTATAAAATAAGATGCACTCACCTAGCCTCACTAGTCAATACCGATCTCTTACTTCTTCCTTGTTCGATCTTATCTTGTTGTTTTATCTAATACTCGCATCTGATCAATATCTACAGAAGTAAACATATAATATACATATCAGCATTCCAAATCTCATGATTCGATCCTTAATTTCTTAGACTAAAAGAAAGGCGTAATTCTATTTTCTATTTGGAGTAGTATCGGTACCCCCATATAGGTATCTATACTTCCCTAACTATGGTATCGGTACCATGCCTAGGTATCGATACCCACATTGCATTATGTAATTCTCGTTTCAAATGTGGTATCAACACCATCCTTATTGTATCGGTACCCTTGGTATCGATATTTTTCTTCAAGTGTCGATACCCCGAGTGTAAGATTATAGACTTTGACATTGATATGTCAACTACCAACTCTGCTAGAGTCTGTTTATAAATCTTGGCGATCTCGATGCCGCATATAACAACATCATCCCCCAAGATCGCATACTTATCAAACTTCTGTCCAGGGTGCACTCGCACCTTCCCTATTTTACTCATGAAGTATCGGTACCTGATGAAGTAGTACCAATACCCATAGCCCATAAATCACTTTTCTTACCTGAAAATTCACCCAAACTT